TTTCACCATTTATTAGAAAAGAAAAGTATCTCCATTCCATACAAATCTATATAATACACTCATTATAACTTGGAATGGAGAAGAGGCCTATATCTTGTGAGATTTTCCTATCTAAATGATAACGAGATCTGAATATGCATGGCTTATTCCAGCTAGAGTTCAGAAATGGGCCCAGGAGTCATGAAGGTAATATTTTAGTCCTTTTAGACATTCTGGATTCTTCTTCTATACTGTTATTCTCCATCAGGTAAAGCTTTTTGGCTCTATCTAGCATTGGCCAAGATTGAAGGGAAAGGATAAATCTGAGTAGAATAAATAGTAGACATGTTGGTGGCCATGAAGATGTAATGAGGGGTTTTGCTCAGTAATAGGCAGTGTTATATTGTGGTTATGGACTCTGGAGTCAGGCTTCCCTGATTCAAATCCTGTTGTTGGTTAAATAATCTTGAGCAAGTAAGTTTGCCTTTTGGTATTCAGTAGCCTCATCTGTAAAATGGAGGTGTTGATAAGAACACTTCATAAAGTTACTGTGAAGATTAAGTGAGTTAATAATGTAAAGCATCCAGGTCAACCCATAGTAATTCCTCAGTAAATATCAAAATTATGAGAATTTAATACATGTATTTTCTCATGATTCTTCAAAATTATTTTTCTATCATTACCTAACATTCTACCATAGAGATGAAAAATAGACTTAACTCACTGCCTATTGTAATAAATTTTTAGATTATTTCTGATTTTTCATGGTTATATATTTGCTTATTTTTTTCAGATTAACCTTAAAATCACTTTGCCAACTTCCAAGAAAAATACTCCTGGAATTTTAATTGGAATTAAATATATTTATATTTATGTATATGTATATATATGTATATACACATATATGTATATGTATATAAATATACATTTATTTTGGGGATGTTCTTTTACGAAGATCAATTTCTTGTCCTGGGGTATAGTATATCCATCTGCATATTCTAATCTTCCTAAAAAAGTGAATCTAGTACTTTGTAATTATTTTCATAGAGATCATCTATATTTTTACATTAATTCTTTTTTTATTAAAGATTTTTATTTATTTATTTGACAGAGAGAGACACAATGAGAAAGGGAACACAAGCAGGGGACCCCCTTACATTAATTCTTATGTATTTCATAATTTTGCCATTAGGAACTATTAAATAGAATTTATTCTTATGTGTTGCTATTATGAAATATTTAGTACTTTGTTTATGTGGATATTTATATGGAGGTTATAATTTTTCATAGTAAAAACATCAAACCTTTTCTGTGTATTACTATTTCTATGCATAGAAAATGTCAGCTTACATCCTGAATTTAGAGCAACTTTTACCTATAATTTATTTTATGTAAAAGCACTTTTGAAAGGTAAAAATTTTAAGTCTATCATGTAAATGCATAGCTAAGCAATAGGATGATTTTATAAATAAATCACTTAAACAAACAGCACTGGTGCTTCATGTCTCTTTTTTTTTTAAGACTTTATTTATTTATTTGAGAGAGAGAGAATGAGAGAGAGCACGAGAGGGAAGAGGGTCAGAGGGAGAAGCAGACTCCCTGCTGAGCAGGGAGCCTGATGTGGGACTAGATCCCGGGACTCCAGGATCATGACCTGAGCTGAAAGCAGTCGCTTAATCAACTGAGCCACCCAGGCGCCCATGGTGCTTCATGTCTCTTAAACAAAGGGTTGGTAAGACCATCTCAGTGCAAATAGAGCAAGATTTTAAGAAAATTCCATGCTTTACTAACAGGCCCATTAATGGGTTATAAACTACAGAAGTCCAACATTTACTAAAGTCCCACCTTCTTTTCTACACATTCCTACTTTAGTATTCTTCTCATACTTTTGTAATTGTCTTGTTTATTTTCTGTTTTCCCCCCATTGCCATTGTAATTTCTATTAGGGCTGTAACCTTTGTTGTCTTGTTTACTACAACAACCAATAGCAAACTACAGTCTTATTCATTCATTCATTCAATCAACACGTATTAACCTGCTATTTTTTGTCAGGAACTGATGTATATAGACAAAGTCTCTGGCCTCAAAGTGTTTAGAGATAGAAAACAAAGAAATAAATAACATAATTTCAGGTAATTGTAAGAACTCTGGGAGTGTAAGGCAATACAATAGATTGAGCAAAGTGAGGAGAGGTACTGTTTCAGAAAGAATAGCCAGTAAAGGCCTCTCTAAGGAGGTAAAATCTGAACAGAGACCTGACTAATATGAAAGATTTGGAGGAAGAATTTTGCAGGTAGACTGAATGGCTATAAAGATCTTGAGGTGGATAAACTTGGTGGTCTAAGAAGTAGCAATAAAACCAGGGAACAAGGGAGAGAATGGAAGATTAGGTCAGGAAGGCAAAACATGGTCAGATCATTCAGTCAACGCTTTCTTCTCTCCAGCAGTGCTTTTCAAGATTTGTTGCGCATACAAATCATCTAAGATCTTGTTAAAACACAGACTCTGGCTCAGTTAGTCTGGGGCAAGGGTTGGGATTCTGAATTTCTAGCAATCTTCCAGAGGATGCTATTGCTGTTGTTCTAAGGACCACTCTTTGAATAAGTTTCTGAGCTATGAAAAGGTGGTTGAATTTTATTGTAAATGTGAATGAAAGCCATTAAAGGGCTCTGGACTTGGGGTAACACAGCTGATTTACATTTTTAAAGGATCATGAAGGTTGTGTGTGTAGAAAAGCCTACTGGGGAGAAAGTGTGGAAGCTGGAAACCAATAAGAAGATTCCTTCAGTTAGACAATAGATGATAGGGGCTTGAAGGAGCACTGGCAATGAAAGAGCTCATGAGACATGGTCAAATTTGGATACGTTTTGATTATTTTGATTATAGAGTCAACAGGATGTTCTGATGGATCAGATGTTGGAAGTAAAAGTAAGAATGATGAAGACAGACTACTAGTTTTTAGACTGAGCAACTGGGTGACTTGTGGTTCATGTCCAGAGCTTAGGGGAGATTGCTGGATGGGAGATAGAAATTTGGGAGCCATTAGGTTTTAAAGCTATGCAATTAAATGAGCTCATCTAGTAAGTAAGTATATACAGCAGAGATTTGAGATTGAGAAAAGGAAGAAAGCCCAGTCAGAGAGTAGAGAAGGAGCCAACAATGAGATAGTAAAAAAAAAAAGTGCGATGTCCCAGAAGTCTAGTGAAGTGCTTCAGCACAGGGGTTGGTGAGGAGGGTACTCAAATACCTGTGAGAGTTCAAATAAAATGAATGACTGAGAATTGACAATTGGACTTAGCCAGATATGGAGGTTATTGCTGATTTGGCAAAGGTGGCCTCGATGAATAGGGTAATGAATCTTGGCTGGACTGTAAAAAAAAAAAAAAAAAAGAGAACGGATGGTGATAAAGTGGAGGCAGAGAAAATAGACACCTGTTTCAAAGATTTTGTTACAGAAATGGGCCCTAACTGGAAAGTGACGGTGAATCAAAGGATTTTTATTTTCAGATAGGAGATAATGAAACGTGTTTATGTTCTGATTATGAGTGACAGGTATGATATTGCGATTTATAGTAGGAAATATACATTTGGTCTTCAACCCTGTTTCTGGTACAAAACTCCTAAAACCCTTGAAATTTCCTAACATTGTGTTTTGTTATGTTAATGAAGGTGACTTTTGGAAAACCCCTAAGTCTGGGGGCTGGATGCCAAGAGTTGAACTTTTAGTCCCACTCCCCAACCTCCTGGAAGGAAAGAGAGGCTGGAGATTGAATTCAATCAGCAATGGCCAATGATTTAATTAATCGTTTTTATGGAACCCTCCATAAAAACTCAAAAGGACCAGGAAGCTTCTGGGTTGGTGAACATGGGGAGTTACTGGGAGAATGCTGCGCCTAGAGAAGGCACAGGAGCTCTGTGTCCTTTCCTCATACTTTGCATCTCTTCCTTCGGACTGTTCCTCAGTTACATCCTTTTATAATAAACTGGCAATCTATTAAGTAAAATGTTTCTCTGATTTCTATGAACTGCCCTAGAAATTAATTAAACCCAAGGAAGAGGTCTTTGGAACCTTCAATCTATAACTGGTTGGTCAGAAGTACAGGTGACAACCTGGACTTGCAATTGGCATCTGAAATGGGGGCCAAGAGTGGACTTGTGGACTGAGCGCTTAACCTGTGGGATCTGAACTATATCCAGGTAGATAGTATAAGAACAGAGTCAAATTGGAAGGCATCCAGCTGGTGTTGGAGCATTGCTTGATGGTGTGGGAAAAACCCCTACACACAGGAATTGGAATCAGAATTTATATATATATCAAGAAGAAAATATTAGTTATATAGGTGGAACAGCTGGCTGTGAAGAAACAGTGTCAGGAGGGAATGCAGAATACTCTTGTGTGTGTGTATACACCCACCCACCCACCCACTCCCATATATATATATATATATATTCTGTTGGTGGGAAGATGCAGCACTTATCTTCCGGATGTTTTAATTTTTCAATAAAATGCAAAGAAAGGTCATCAACCAACAGTGAGAAATGCAGGAGGAGTATTGAAGATTTGAATAGTGAAGAAGTGGTATGATATAATCATCTTGGAAGGTGTGAAGCAAGTTTAGTAGGATAATGTGGTAGGATTCAAGTGGCAGAGCTGTGGAGCCATTTAAGATATAGTAATATAATTAAAGCGAAACAACTGGGATTTCCTCTCATCACATGTGTATGTTTAGAGAGCAAACAGTAAGGCTACTGAGGACATATGAAAGAAATTATAATAATGAATCATGGCATCTAAACCTAGAAAGAGGCCTTGAAAAGTGGTGAGTTAATGCATTGTTCAAACGGGACAAAAGAACAGTCGTTATAGTAAATGAACTGAAAAACAGGAAGTTCATTGAGTTCTCAGGTAAATAAAACCCTATGTAACCTTCCCCTGCAATTCTTCAAAGGTGCTGGACGGGGAGACCTTAACCATGTAACATAGCTTGAATTGTCATGAACGTTTCTCAAAAGGCTCACCATTGATTTACTTTACACCATCATCATGTGATTTTATTTACTTACAATTTCTTAAAAATAGATGCATTGAGAAAAGCAGGGTACAGCAGCAGTACAACTATATCCCCTTCTATTTTAAAGCATTTTAAAATGTTTTCATGCACCAAACCGAAAAGCAAAACATCATTCAAACCAAACAAGTTATTAAAGTACCATCCTTAAGTGCTGTTTTATCTCTTTGCTTATTATTCTCTCAACAGCAATAAAGCAGAAGTCATATTACCAAATTTGAATGCTAATACATTTCCAGGATAATGTGAACAGGAAACAAATAGAATCTTGAAACCCCATTTCAAATACTCTTCAGAAAACTGTTAGGAGCGCAAAAAGTCCATACAGTAAGGCACAAGGGTAGGCGATAAGAAGCTGTTGTCCTTTCATGCCCAAGGCTGAACTGAAGATTTTGGAAGCTGAGAGACTACACCAGCCAACGATGACCAGAGCCAACACAGTTCCAAATGTGCCCCTACAGCAAACACAAAAGAGATGATTACCTTATATCAAGAGAAAAGGAGATTATTGTTTCAGAGCTGCCTCTGAAATGTCCTTGGTACAATATTTATAACTACTTTCTCCATTTGCAAAATGAGGGTGAAGAACTGTATGAAGTCAAAGGCCTTGGCCAGCTTGAAAATTTGGAAGTCAGATTCCCCATCAGAGGTAAACATTTTATACTTCAGTAAAACTTGAACTAACAGGAGTACAAAAATTCACCTGCAATTACCCTCATCTGTCAACATTCAAATCCCAACTCCTGAAAATCTTTTATAAAATCTATGCTTAGGGTTCTCTTTAATAGTTACAGATTCATTTTCCTACACTATTTTCCCAAACTGATGCACCATATGAGCAGAAAGATAACTGGACTTGCCCTCCAGTAGGGGGCCTCGTCCCCACTGCTCCCAGGTCCGCTTTTCAGGTTTCTATCTGAGATAGCAAAGCCTGACGCTGTTCAAGTAAGGGACACAAATATGAGTGTGGCCTCCCACCTCATCGCTGAAGATTCCTTTTGTAGGTGTATTGTGGATTTTTAGAATATTGGAAGGGATTTTTTCAAATTGGGATCTTCAAAAATAACTGTGGAGGCAATTGGCTCTTTAAGAAGAAATGGGCAAATAAGGTAGTTAAATCGAGCCACCATGGGGATAAAAGAGGAGATATGGGAGTAAAGAGTGAATTTCTTTCCTTATGTGCAAAAAAGAATGCATTATTTAGAAAAATAAGCTATAAGATCTATGAAAGATCACGCGATATCTAGTCCCCAGCTTTAGATCAATGAAGTGAGTTGAGGAAAATTACACAGTGAAATGGGCATTAGGTCAAGATCTCTTAATTCTTATGGCACATTGCTCCTTTCACCAACAAACTACACTGTCTCACTCGATCCTGGTATAATGTGAAGTTGAGAATTATGTTTATTATTTGTGAAAATGACAAAAATTTTACTTTTGATAACTGAACCAAAGAAAAACAAATGAAAAACTGTACAGTATAGCTTATGATGCTTTGGATTATAAATAAACCAAAAATATTTAAAGTGCACTCTAATAAATATGATATGCATTGGTTTAATTAATATCTATCAGGAATAATTTATAGGTCAACCTAATATACAGGTTTTTCTGAACAAAACTGTAAAATTATATATGATTGATTTGAATGATATAGTAATATGCCCAAAAAGGAAATGTCAGTGTAATAGCCTTAGGGGTTGGATAATTTACTCTCCTTTAATATAATTTAAAGGATTTCTAAATCATCCTTTATCATTTCAGAATGAATATCGAAAAAAGGTCCAGACTTCTGATGATTCTCAAAATCTCATTTTAGTTTTTATTTTCTTCCCCTAATAATCTAGAGTCATTTGAGATGCTACAAGCCTTAACTTTGCTGGAAATAATGTTTTAAACTTAAAATTTTTAGATGGTAAATCACTATAGCATTCTTTGGCAGAAGCATTTAACAAAATAGAAGCTGTAGAACTAAATTCTGTATTAACATGTCAAATATCTGTACCAAACAACATAGTAAATGGAAAAGCTTGCTTAAGAACCCGCTTGGGATTCTCCCTCTCCCTCTGCCCCTCCCACTCGAGCTAAATAAATAAATAAATAGATAGATAGATAGATAGAGACCATGTAAAACAAAGTAGCATTTCCAACTAAGTCACTCTCAGTAATGTTATGAGAAAAAACTATATGAGATATCTAAACAAAATTTTTAAAGGCTCTCCTAAAATGTCTATCTTTGACATTGGTACATTCTTTATATAATATGCTATCCAATGTAGTGTTAATAACCTAAAATGTGGATCATCCAAAAAAAATGCAAATTGTGCCTCCTTGGATATAGAAGAATGAACACTGATGGCAAATGTTTATTGGGTTCAGAGCATGTAGGGGACAAAGGATTATGTAATTACTTGTTCTCCCCAAACCATGGTAGTGATGTGCATATGCCCTGGGAAACTGCCCAACAGAAATATATCTACTGGATCCTCATTAATAGTTTTGAATTGCAAATCCTAACTTCCGAGACAGTAAAAAAGAAAAAAAAATCTACTGGCTGAGCATATATGTTATAAAGTTCTCCAGCATTAATATCCTCATCAGGGTTCCTGGGAATTCTTCACTGCAAGGAGCCCAGCTGAGAAAGAACAGTTGCTTGCCACCTAGAAGGCAGAGTGCCTGGGAGCTGAAGCAATTTTTCAATGTTCACCAGGCACTTCCTCTTCCAAAATCAAACAAGTGAATTTTCTGTCGTTGTTCTATTACCCCAGACAATAGTTCATATTGAAGAAGGCAACAACTTCCAAAGTGCCACTTTCACAGATAACTTGGTTTAATTTATTGTTTAAATCATCCAAATAGGAACAGTACCTGAGCCAAAACTGTCCTACTTTCCTGAATCTGTCTGTAGCTTTTAATAGCCAAAGTTTCCCCGATTCCATTCCCAAAAAGATCAGAAAGAGGTTAACTGTTACCCCGGTGTGGCAAGTTTGAGAGAGGACTGTGCATGCGGGGTCCATTAGCGCACGCAGACACTTACTGCAGTGAAGAGAAGATGGCACAGATGGACAGGATGACCATGGGGAGCAGGCAGTAACCCAGTACACTTGCGACGCAGCCATAAGATGCCCCTGAGGAGCTCATCAAGTTTAGCAAGGTGTGAATCCCTAGGCAACCTAGGGCACTCATGCCATACACATAACCAAACTGAGCTTTTCCTGCCTGAAACAACGGGAAGAACACAGGTGAACACACAACAAACATCAAGAGGAAATTGGAACGTCAACAGAGATGAGAGCATTTTAGAATCAATCAGCCCAGCACTGTTTCATGTCTTTCTCAGGTACAGTCATCAGGAGACTGGGAGTTCTGGAAAAAACACTGGCTATCATATGAATTCGGGTCCTGAAAACAAACACTCCTGATTATATTTGGGGTGGCACATGCATGCCACAGAAAAGATGAAAAATTTCTAGGTGTCTTTTTTAATCATAGATCACTTATTAGATGTACAAGATGTAAGTAAGAATATATTTTCTCCCCCTATTTGTTAAATAATTAAATGAACTAATTAATTAATGAAAGAGATTCCAATTTCATCTTGAAGATTTTACAAGGCAAATTAGTAATGTTAGCAAATATCTATAGGATTTACTGTTAGATCCTATTCTAAGCATTTCACATGTACTAAATTATTTAATCCACACAACAACTTTATGAGATAGGTACCACTATTATACTCATTTTACCCACGAGGAAACTAAGGTGCAGAGAATATGTAACTTGCCGAAAATAAAATAATGTTAAGTGGTGGAACTTGGCTTTGAACCTAGTCAGTTTTGCTCTAAAATTAGATCCTGGACATCTATAGGAGCTCTCACAAGTCTTAAAATAATGGGACTTACTTAACCTAGCATATCCTAAACTTATTTGACCATAGAATCCTTTGTTTTCTTAATTTTTATTACCAGTTTAACTGAACATACCTTATGAAAAGCTGGTTTACATAAACCAACTGGTAATGAATCATAAAAGAAGTACTGTTAAAGGGAAATCAGTAGTGTTCAGGATACTGAACACTGATTTTCTGAGGACTCATAAAATAGCCATCTCTCACAGGCACTAGGGATTGGGAGCTGAAATAGTCCCATTAAACTCGCCCAGAGAAAGTCACAAACTACTGTTGTTTCAACAGGGGATATTTTAATGTTTGCTACCTGAGGATGCCAAAGCTCCAGTAAAGAACACATTTAGTTTTTCTATTTACATTAAGCTGATTAGAAATTCTGGATAAATATTGAATAGGTGGACTCTGTTTTTCATGGGAATCATGCAAAACAATGAAGGATCTGCTAAATTCAGAGAGTGAGCTTTTTAGCTGTCATGTTTTCTTCTTCATGGCTATTATCTGTACAGTCTTTATGTCTTACAGAGTAAAGAGATATTTACTTTGCAATTAATTAGTGGAAAATATTATGACCATTTGAATGTTCAAAATTGTCTAGCTAGTTTGAGTTCTTCTTCCTCTACACAGATGGGGAGATTGGTCACCACCAAGTCCTTTCACAAAATGTCCCTGGGCTATGCTTGCAGAATTCTCTCCTGCATTAGCCATAACGAGTTCTTATTGAATGATTTTTGTATTCTCATGGCTATCTTGTGAAATAATACTAATAATGCTAATGGACATGCTTAAGAATCCCCTCAGTTATTGCTCTATTGGGTGAGTTTGCTCCACCTGGAAAATAGTGACTATTTAAAATCACTTTAATGGATTAGAGAAACATCCTACTTAATATTTTAATTGGATGGGCTAATTCTGAGGTAGCGACGGTTGTAATGGTGAAGGGCAACTTCCTCACAACCAAAGGACACAGAGCTGGACCTTCCTAACCCCAAGCAGTTTTATAAATAGGGTGGGGTATACAAAGGGTAGGCAAGACTAATTTGATAGTAAAACTGTCCCTTTCAATATCAGTTAGTGACTTTTCTCTTCATCCCTTTTCTTGTTAGTTTATCCATTCTAAGTTGTAGTTCCATTTGGCAGGGGCCACTGCCATTTTTAATTTGTTTCAAATTCTGAAAAAGGGCTTGTAACTGAAATGGAAAGGAAATGTTCCATTTCTTTTTAACCTCAAAACTTTACGGGTCCTCCTTGTACCAGCTTTATTACTATATCTGGATTTGAAATACTCATTATTCTTGTGATTATGCTTTTACATTGGTCATGCACGTTCCTTTTCCAGATCATACTCTTAGATCTACTAGAAAAATTAAAGAGAACCATACTTTTAAACCACTTATCTTCTTTGTTTGGGGGTGAAAATAATTTTGAGAGCAAGAATACAACTAAGTTTATGCTAACTGTTTGAGGCTGTCCTCTTTGGTTTGCCTTCTTCAACATGAAGAAAGTCCAGTAAAAGATATTATGTCTTGCCTTATGTCAACATAAATCATAAAAATGATAAGTATATGACTATAAGTTTTATGCCTCTGGAGAAAATGAACAAGTTGAGTATTGTTTTGGATTTAGTTTTCCCTTCTCTAGTATAATGCATATTCCAGCCCATACACTTTTCTTTTACATTTTAATTCTAGATATCCAGGGCATGGTTAGTTTAGCTTCAAATGCACTCTGAGTGAAATCTGACTTCATTGGTATATACTTGGGTGATTTTTTGTTGTTTTTTGGTCCTTATTGCTTATTTACATGTGTTAGAATCAATTCTGAAGTAATCACGTCTAGTGGTAAAATTAAACTGATAATGTCTGCTTAAAATGTTTCAGAAAATATGCACTTTCACATATTCCTCCAAATTTTAGAACTGAAAGGAACTTACATAACGTTTTTTGTCTTCAAAATGAAGAAATGAAGAAATAGGAAGCAAAAATTTCAAGATCATACCTAGAGGCAAAGTTAGGGCTACATCCAATTTTCTCACTTCCAGTTGAGGTCTTTGCCTATATTGCTTTGTACTTAAAACAAAAAGAGGATATTTAAATAATTCTGACTAACATTACACACCCCAAAGAGATCTTAATGGGATTAATGTTTTCCTTTAAGGAAATGGTAACATTTTCTACAAGAAAACAAACAGTTGTTATATTAGAAATCACTTGAAAAAGAAATATGGGTTAAAATATTAAATTGATTGTTTCTATTTGATTAATTGACATGGTATTAACTTAGTGTAGCTAAGATTATCAAATTACCGTGACAAAGACAGAAGGGAGGTTAGAGACTAAATTAAAACTCTAGTTGATATAGTGTTTGATTTACAGAGTACTTGCATTTGCTGTAGTTCAAAGGAAGAAATAAGATGCTATCATTAAATACTATTGTATTGGATAAATATGATGTGATTATTAATCATATCACCATGCAGAAACTAGATTGCTATCAGCATTTTGATTGGTATAAAGTAAATTAATAAATAAAGAGTGAAAATTTATTTAGTTGCAAATACATTTTACATCTACTTTTGAAAACTGTAGCTACATTGGAGAAAAAACACTTAATGGAAAGTGGATAGCCAAGAGACAGAGAAATGGACTGAACAGTTATTTTAAGGGCTTTTCCTAGAATTTTTAATTTCCTGTATTCTTTCTCCTGTCAAGTTTATCTCTTTGTGCCTTAATGAAACTACACTTTTCAGACTGGCCCAACCATCTTTTTCATCCTCAGTTTTTAACATATGGTCATTACCTCCTTGGTTTAAAATCATAGACTTTTCTCTTTTTCTTCTTTTTTCTTTAAATGAGACATTTTTCTCAAGTATGAGCTAAAATGTCTTCTAAACTTAGCTTGGGTGGAAATGTGTTTTTCTTTACTTCTTTGGGGACTCAATCTCATTACTCCAGATTTAAAGAAAGAAAGGGGCCCATACACAAGACAAATGGTAAAGTCTGGGGGAAAAATTGCCTGTATAACAAGCAGGAAATTCAAATAACAGAAAAATATATAGGTTGAATAAACAAATCACTGGTTATCATTGCAAAGTAACATACTCATATTAACCTAACCAGAAACAAGGCAACTCATCTCATACTCATACCTCACAGAGTATTGGAAATATTCTATAGGTACACCCCAGCAAAGAAAATGATGAGCAAAGAGAAGGGATTTCTCTGGTGTCACAACAGAAATGTCACAGAAAACAAGAACTAAAATTTGGGCCTCTATTTCCATGTGTTCCTTCAAATATTTCAGATTGACAATCTTTTCTGAATAACAAGAAAGACATAAGGGATCACCTGCTTTGTTGAAAACTTACTTGGTGATTTGATTTTTGAAATTCTGCTTACATTTATATTTTATCTGTCCTAATACTTGAGGACCATTTCTCTTTGTCACTAGGGTTCAATTAACTATGTCTCTCTCACCCCAAAAAACTGTAGTTATGAATTAAACAATTTACATTAAAATCTGGTGCTTGTTGCTATTACCAGAAGCAAGGTAACTCCTAGAGTGATACAAAACAGGATGGGCCCAGTGAGGTCCGTTTCATTCATAATGCTGCCATCTGCTGGCTTCAGCGGGTTTAACACGGTCAAGGTTTTTTGCCATATGTGATCAAAATTAATTCCAAGTTCTGCAAAAAGAAAAAAAAAGGTAATAATACAAACATAAAAAATAAACATGAATAATATTTACTTAAATTTAACATATCTCGTCAATTTACTTAGCACTTTAATCTGATTGTTACACCTTCAAAATCTAAAGTTCTATGCAATATATAATTAAAAGAAAAGAAAATTTGTTGTTCCCAAACAAGGAACTAAAGAAATATTTTAGAGAAATAATTACACCAAGGAAAAATTTCCCTGCCTTATGCACCAAATATAAGCTTAAAATCTAGTTGAAAATTGGGAAATAGATGTTCTACAGTAAAAAATAAAATAAAATAAAATGGTAGCTAACAGACTGAAAGTCTCATCCTATTGCTTATTTAGATATTTCCTTTTCCTCCATTTTCCCTTGATAACACTGTTAGGAGTTAGTTAGACAGTTAGGCAGTCAGGGCCAGGGTCCTCAACAAGAAGATATGGAGTCAGGACAGCTAAAACAGCACTAACATCCTGTTTTGCAGCTTAAACAGGACTACACTAGCATTCTGCTTGCAGCCTTTGCAGAAATGACTTCTGCAAAACATCCTAAAATAAGACAATTAGCCACAAACCATCTGTCATTTTCATAGGCAGTGGGCAGTTAAGACATAAGCCCCAGTTGTCAGCAAAAAGAGACCATCAGTATGTTGACATTAACCTAGTAGGTAGACAGATACCTGACCAAAGCCCTGATTGTCATGACTCAGCACACCCTGATTGCTTAAGATAGTTCTGCAAAAGAGCTCATAAAACCCCCTAAACTTAGAAACTGCAAGGGCAACCCTCTTGGGCCCCCCCACCCTCTCCAGGAGCTTTATACTATCACTCAATATACTTTGCTTTGCTGCCCACCACTCTTCTGGTCTACCTCTTCATTCTCCCAAGCGGCGTGACCAAGAACTGTGGGCACTAAAGGCAGAAAATCCTGCAACACTTTTGAAATCATATCATACTTATATCAAACATGGTATAATTGTTTAATTAGCAGTATTATCTAAACTAAAGGTATTTAGCCCAGATCTGGGATTTTATTTCCACCCTGCCTGATGACAAAAGCAGTTCTATGCTGACTGCCTGAACCTCCGCAAAGGGGAAAGAGGATGGCTCTTTCTTGCGCCCATATTTTAATTAGGTCAGTGCTAGTGTGGTTGAGTCTGTATACCCAAAGATTAAATTCTCGAGACAAGTTAACATTTCCCTTTTGTTAGTGGTGGTGTTAGAATAAAATATTCCAAGTCAGTGGGGCTCAGTGTCCTTGAGTCCAAATTCGTTTAGAAATACCTAATTTTCCCCCCAATGCCTTGTTTTTAAGTAATTCTGACTGCCACCTCACAGACCCTTCTGCCAGATCCTGCCCCTCTTACATTTTTGTTTCAAAATTTTTTTAAAAAGCCAGCCATCTGACATCCACTGAATACAGAAATAAATATTAACACATCAGTTTCTTTTCTCACCAGTTCTATAAAGATAAACATTAAGATGTATCTTGAGTAGAAAAAAGGACATTCAAAAAGGAGAAGAACATGACTTTATTAGGAACCAATAATCAAGCTGGCTACTCTCCTTCTATCATTTTAAATTTGAATAAGAGTAAGGCAGAGGCCCAGAATAATTAGAGATAAACTACTGTAAAGAACAGTGCATTTCAACTAAAAAGAATTGAATGGGGTTTTTTTGTTTGTTGTTGTTGTCTTTTTTTTTACTGTTTTCACTGAATTCTGCTGTGAGCTCTACAAAATTTGTATGCATTAGTCTTACAGACATGTAATGAGGCTAGGACTATTATTTTATTCCTATTTTGTGCATCAGATGGCTGAGGTTTTGAGATATAAAGAATTTGTTCAAAGTCACAGAAGTACAAGCAGAAAATATAGGTTTCAACACTGGAGAATCTGATTCAAGAACCCATGTTTCCTCCCCAAGACAAACAATCCAATTACAAACTGGGCAGAGGACCTGACTAGACATTTTTCCAAAGAGGACATGCAAATGGCCAACAGGTACGTGAAAAGGTGCTCAACATCACTAATCCTCAGGGAAATGCAAATCAAAACCACAATGAGATACCACCTCACACCCATTAGAATGTTATTATCAAAAAGATGAGAAATAAGTATTGGTTAGGATGTGGGGAAAGGGGAACCCTTGTGCACTGTTGGTGGGAATTTAAATTCATGCAGCCACCATGGAAAATAGTATGGAGATTCCTCAAAAATTAAAAAATAAATAAATAATAGGGCTCTGGCATTCCAACTGCCCCACTGTGGCTCTCCCCAGGCCAGGCTGACAACAGGTCCACTTACTGCTGGAGGATACGGGCTCCTAGAGATGGTGGCTCTAGCACGGAGCCGTGCGGGTCAGTCCCCAGGGCAGCAATGGGTGGCAGCCAGAGGCTATGACCTGAGCCCTGAACCTGGCCAGTTTAAAAAGAAAAAAGAAAAAAAAAACAAGAACTACTATATGATCCAGCTTCTGGATATATACCCAAAGGCAATGGAAACAAGGTATCAAAGAGATATATGAGCTCCCAAGTTCAATGCAGCATTTTTCACAACAGCCAAGACATGGAAACAACCTAAATGTCTGTCAGTGGATGAACAGATAAAAAAGATGCGGGATATACATACGATGGAATATTCATTCATGAGAAAGAAGGAAACCCTGCCAATTTGCAACAACATGGATGGACCTTGAGGACATTGTGTTAATTGAAATAAAGAAAGAAAGACAAATACCGTGTGGTATCATATGTGGAATCTAAGATCAAGGAGAAAAAAGAGTCAACCTCATAGAAATAGAGTAGAAAAGTGGTTAGCTGAAGGTGGGAGAAACAGCAAGAGGTCAGCATAAAGGCACACCCCCCCCACCCACAAAACAAAACAAAAACAAAAAAACAAAAATCTTGCTTTTAATCATATAGCTATGGATGTCAATGTGTATCTAATCTCATAATAGTTGTATTTTTTTTTTAATTGAGCCCAGTTCTCCCATGTGAAGGATTTTTTCCCTAAATCATTTGTATGAGGCCTTCAACTTCCCTTCCCAGGATTCAATGATCATCTTTAGTCAGATACAGAGTATAGTTCAACTGCTTTTATAACACCTGTGCTACCACACACATAACACTTGACATCTTGCATATCTGACATAACACCTGATATCTTGCGTATCTGACATTCTATACACAGAATACCAGATGGACTTTAATGCCTGCCATGACAGGGAGGGGTCTTAACTCTAACAGGGACTGAGACATTTTCAAAAGTTTGGACAGACATTGGTCTACACGGCAGTAGTAAGGATATTTTTTCACTCATTTCATATCCACGTTGGCAATTGCTATCCCTAGCTTGAAAAGAAAGAATTTGACTGGTTAATAGTGAGTAAATCATGTACATTTCAACTTCTGCGCTGCATCCTTTTTATTATCACAGTACAGTTATATATTTCTTAATGAACATACACTTTGAGGAGATGAGCAGTTCAACAAGCTTAAAATGAAGTCAGAATGTCTAATCTGATTTTTAAAAAGCAGAAGATTTTTAAAATTGGAAATATTAATGTTTAAACTAATTTCACCTAAACCTTATGTTGTTTTCAAACTTTATTTTCAATTAAGACATTTATGTTAGCAATATGTTTTCAACATTTACCACAACAAAGTGGCCTTTAATTCAAAATACCTTTTTTTCCTCAAAAAGCAAAATAATTATTCCTGAAGAAACTCAAATGAAAAATGCCTTGTGAGACATTACTACTGATTTCAAACATTTATTTGATGGCATAATTAATTTTTGCACATGTTTCAACATTGAGTCATGAAAATGGTGAGTGAACATAAGATCTACTAAATATTGTCATACCAAAAAAGATTTTGTGTTTGTTACCAAAATACATCTTCATAAAATTTGTTTTTCAAATTTATTACAAGGTATGCAAATGAAATTATAAGTATCTATTAATTGTAGATAACCTAATATAATACTTTATTATACAAGATAAAGGATGAAACTGCTGTGAAATTTGAATATAAAAGTTATTGTTTTGCTGTCATCTAGTGGTAGTAAAATATATGATATATATGCTATAAAAATGAATTAATATCTTTGTTTTCTATGCAAATTGTGGCACTGGCCTTTTAAATATAAACATCAGGCTGTGCTACAAATATAAGTACTGAATATCACAGTAATTTTTCTGGTTTGACAGACTTGAATTGACTATTATTCTTTAAGATACGTTTGTTAACATATTGACTGTATATAATCAAATAGCAAAAGTTATCATTCTTACATAAAACCACCAAACAAGTCTTTTAGACAACAAAGTATTTAAGGAATAAAGAAGCACATTTTCAAATAACGTATTTTTGTGCAAGGGATGTTAATTATTATAGCTTCATAATGTGATACCCCGTTTGGTGTATTCTCAATAAAAACTAGCAAATGACATTTATCACCTTATCCTAGGAACCCTGCCTGTGGCTTTTTCATATCTTTGAAACAGATGAGGCTCGAGGCTTTCACAAATTCACCCAGCCTGAAGAACGTATTGAATAAGCATCTAGAAATTTCATAGATACAAAATGCAAAATTATATTAGGTGTGCTCTCTTGTATCTCTAATCCACTAGCAATTTGGTGGGGACAATCACAAAGAGAAAATAAAATCTAAGAATTTTCTCTAAGCTATATAAAGTGGGAGGGGAAATCTAGTATATTTCCTATTTGAATTTAATAAGATATTAGGGAGGATGCATTCTAGTTTAGAGTATCACAATAGAGACATTCAGACCAGCAGAAAAGAAAAGATTATTTTCAATAAATGTTACAGGAAAAATTTGTTATTCATTAAAGAAAAAAAATGTTAAATCCTACCTCACACTCTAACCTAAAAGAATTTTTAATGAATCAAAAATTGAAGTGCAAAACAAAAAGATAATTTAAAAATTTAAGAATGTACAAAAGGACATAAACAGCACCAAGAGCTGGAGAAATATATTCTAAACAAAAGAGCAAACAGAAAGAAAATTTACCAAGAAAAATATTGTAGAGTTGAAAACATAAGTATTAAAATTTCTATATGCTTTAATATCCTATTAACAAATTAGATGGCAAACACCATCTAGGAAAAAAAATGTTTGCAATACATATTCCAGGTAATCATTAAATGTCTTTACCATAAAAATATCCTTAAAAACAAACAAGGAAGGGAAAAATCTTAAGATTCCAATAAGAAATCTGACAAAGAATATGAAAAACAAGAATAGTCAATAAACATGAAAAAAAAAGTATAACTTTTCTAGTAACCAAGAACTACAAAGTATTGCTTTTTACCCATCCAATTAACAAAAACATCTCATATTCTACTATGATGGTGTAGGGGATCATGCTCTTCTAGATCAGCTTGGCAATATAAACATATTTTGACCCAGTAATCCCAGTGTTATGGATCCATCCTAAGGACAGACTCTGTAGAGATGAAAGTTATTTACTTTGATGTTCACCAAAGCATTACTTATTAGAAGGAATAGCCTTTAAGGTGAGTTTAAGTTATGGTACTTTTATATAATAAAATATTATGAAGCCATTCTATATCATATTTTCAAATAGTATTTAATGACTTTAAAGAATACATGTATAGAAATACTTTTGGTATAAGGTAACTTTTTTTAAAGATTTTATTTATTTATTTGATAGAGACACAGCAAGAGAGGGAACACAAGGAAGGGGAGTGGGAGAGGAAGAAGCAGGCTTCCCGCTGAGCAGGGAGCCCGATGTGGGGCTCCATCCCAGGACCCTGGGATCCTGACCTGAGCTGAAAGTCATGAGCCTAAGGCAGATCTTAACGACTGAGCCACCCAGGCGCCCCAGTATAAGGTAACTTTAAAAACTACAAAACATGGGGCGCCTGGGTGGCTCAGCCAGTTAAGTGTCTGCTTTCAGCTCAGGTCACGATCCCAGGGTCCTGGGATTGAGCCCAGCACCGGGCTCCTTGCTCAGTGGGGACCCTGCTTCTACCTCTCCCTCTGCCTGCCGCTTCCCCTGCCTGTGCTCTCTCTCTCTCTCTCTCTGTCAAATAAATAGATAAAATCTTTAGAAAAAAAGCTATAAAACTTCACAGCCATTGTATGATCCAACTTTCATTTTTAAGTATTCATAAATACATACATATTCAAAAAATATTGTATTTCATTTTTAAGCATTTATACTTAAAATATATACACACTTATGTAAAATATTTACATATATGTATTTCATACATACACATTCATAAAAATAGAATAAAATCTGGAATAAAATACATCAAGTCATTAATGGCAGTCATATCATAGGGACAAAATTTTAGGTGGTTTTTATATTTTTATTCATATATTTCTCTATTTGCCAAATTTCCATATTGAATATAGGTAAATTGTATAAAAACTGATAGTTTTTTTAAGTAGAGATGTTGGTGGAATCAAGGAGAATGTTTAATGAGGATAACTTATAATTTTCAGCTATTGATTATTATCCAGAGGCAAACTGGAATGAATTGGTTAAAGATAACTGATCCCAAAATCTAACTGGCTTCTAAAGAGCCAACAAACCTATGATATAATTTTCTGTGCTTTTCTGAGTGGTTTAAATCTTTCATTTTTTTTAAATTTTGAAGACAAAGAAAGAATGTTTTATTTTTTTATTTTTTATTGTTATGTTAATCACCATACATTACATCATTAGTTTTTGATGTAGTGTTCCATAAAGAAAGAATGTTTTAATACCAAGTGGTTGGCTCTGTTCATATGAGGCAAACACTGATCTTTTGGTGTAAAATATTGGGAATTTTAATCTAGCCCTTTTCACTTGACCACATATAAAGGGGTGAGAGCATAATTGTTAACTATTCATATAGTCATACTTCTCCTTGGCTCTTAAATTTAAATCTACTTGAGTTTTAGTTTTCTAGCCCCTATGCTTCTGGCATCAATGTTGATTTGCTATAAGAGCAAAAGTAGCAGATGTAGGCTGGATTAAAAAAAGAAAAAAAATAATCAATGAATGGAACATCCCTGAAATCCCTGAAGGACCTTCAGCTGCAAAGGTCCACCTGTTTCCTTGCCACCAGCAGTGTTATTTACTGGAATCATATATTCCTCTCCACTTAGCCATACCTAGCTGAGATGAGGGGGCTTCTCTGAGCCAAGGAAGAAAAAAAAAACTGGCTTGTCTCCATGACAGTAAAGAAATATTGAGAAACTACCCCCTAGGCTCCCAGGCGTCATAGCAGAAGATAACAATATGCTGTTATGAAGTAGCTTCATTAACTGGGGTAGGGAAGGGTCGTTACTTTGATACAAACACTCTGCTAAAAGATGTGTTCACTGTTGTCTAGACCCCAGTCAGGGAGTCCACACTTTAACAAACCGAAGAAACATTTAATAACTGCGTTTAATAGCACAGCAATGGCAACACTCTACTTCCAGTTTTCCCCACACAAGCATGAGACAAACTTCCAATGGTTTATGCACCTTAGTTTCGCACACTTGTTTATACATGGAACGATCACACATAAAACACTGTACACGGCATGCTGACAGTGCACATTAAGCGCTGATTATTGCTATTATTCTTCTAGCTGATCACACACTAATAGCACTTCCTTAACTTATCTTCTAGCAAAGGAGGCTCTTCATCAAAACTGTCAACGTAAGAAGATTGTGAATAATAATCCGGGTTGGATGCTGGCTGAAAAAATTGTCCCTCGCAACCTGATGACATGAGCATCTCTGATGGGACAAAGACAGGCTGAGGCTGCTCGCTGGCTTGTTGTCTAGAGAAAGGAAAATAGTGATTTTTATACATCTCAGAATGGGATGTCATGACCAGTCGCGGAAGGAAACTACAATTCTCCTTCTATGAGTTCTCCTAGCTTTTGTGGTTATTTACCCATGAAAGAAGTAGCTTGCTTAAAATTTACCTTTAATTTAAAAAAATGAAGTAACTGGTCATGAGAAGGTTCTAGAAGAAAGATCCATACCAACTAACACTTATTGATTATGTACAATGTGCTGGAAACTTTCCCCTCATATTTTCTCCCATAATGAATACTCTGTAAGGTAAAAACTGTAGTTTTAATCCCATGTTGCAGATAAAGAAACAGAGGTTCATGGAGACTGAACGACTTGCCCAGTGTCACAAAATAGTACTTCAGGTGTTGGACTCCTAAGTGAAGCTGCCTGAGCAGTGCTCAGACTATACGATGTTGCTTTTTTACTGATTTTCAGCGGCAATCATCAAACATGACATTCTCTATAAATCTGTGGAAGCAATAAGTAGAAATCACAATTTTAATAGTAGAGTCAGTACATAGGAAAAAACAAATACATAAATTGACCTTCTAGCTCTGGCCATTCCCAGACAATTACTGCCAATTATCTTTGAGTACCTAAAAGGATTCTACATCTGGCCTAGTGTCCTTCTTTTGAAATATGCAATTTGGTTTTGTTGAAACATGATACTTTGATACTTCCTTGACCACATTTTTATTGGTTTTTTATTTCACCATTTGTGTGAGAAAGCTGGAAAACAACACTCAGTACATAATTTCTTAGAGCTAGAGAAAAGAAGGAAGGAAAAAAAGTATATGAGGTTTTGATCATTTTAAATTGTTTTTACCTGAAGGAAGGGGAAGACACATAAGGAGTTGTCCTTATTAACATGTTTAAGTTTCTTTCATCAGAACCCCTTAGGCTAAGCTAAAAATACAGCGCAGGATTCTGAACTTTGCAGCTCCCTGTGATCTCTTTGTGTTAAAATATTTACAAAATGGCTTTTCATTCTTTCCTTCCAACTTTAATCTTAATATGAAGCCTAATAATAACATATTCAACTTCCCTTACATGAGTAAGCCTGACAGAGATAATAACCTTCTCTTGGAAAATAAAGCTACCAAAATAAAGATATATGCATTTAATCATTCACTAATTCAAACATAAGCTCATTAAGGGCAAGGACCTGGTGTAATCTTTCTTGAATCCTCCACAGCATATGTTGATTACTGTTATTGTTCCCTTAGCCATGAGGCATATTCCCAACCTTTTTTTTTTCTTTTTCTCAGCAAAATAGAACCACTATCAAAAGTACTGGTCGAAATTAATTATAAATAAGAAACTGAATGGCCTGTTGGTTGATGAAAAGCCCCCCTTGATCCATATTTTTTTTAATGTAAGCATTTCTAGAAGTATAAAAGGGGAAAATGAAGTTGACTTAATGGGGCAGCATCTAACCAAGACTATTTCACTGACAAACTGTCCTAGCGTCACCATAACTCAGGCCCAGGTCTGACTAACCAGGCTTGAGGAAAGGTAACTTTCACAATTACTCCCTGCAAAGCAATTTCCATGAAGGAGAGAATTTGGCATAGGTGATTGACCCAACCCCTGCAAAGAGAAAAACACATTAAAAAAAAAAAATGTGCCCATTACCAGCTAAATCCCATCCCTTTCTCTTTCTTTCCTCTCTTTCTCTTCTCCTTCAACCAGCAAAACTTCTTCATCAGGAGCTTGGGCTCTTTTGTCCTTATTATAATGGAGGCATAATATTAAAATTTTCCCACCACTTATTTAAGAAAGTATAATTTCAAAATCTGTCCAACAAAGGAAACCTCAAAAGCTTTTATCTACAAAAATTACCATGGTCACCTGCCATCACTGTCTGAATTAAAATTCTCTCTTTTTATCTTATAAATTTGTACATGTTGACTGTAATATTCTACACTATATCTCAATAAACAAAATCTAAGCAATACTAATATAGTCACATGATTAGTCCACAGTTCTACCCAACAAACTCTGTAAATAAACCCAATTCTCAGGTTTTAGGCCTTTTTCTGAAAATTGCAATGAACAACCATACTTTTATTTAACCATGTATTTCTTTTTTCTTTTTTTATTAAGTTTTTAATTTTAGTTCCAATATAGTTAACATACAGGGTTATATTAATTTCAGGTGTATTATATAGTGACTTAACAATTCTATGCATTATTCAGTGCTCATCATGATAAGTGTGCTCTTAACCATTTATCTTGAACACTTTACTAATTGCTTTGTGAACCCCATAGCCCTGAACTATTAACCTATTAAAGTCAACTGCATGAGTTAGATTAGTGTACCCAATACTTAAGATGGTAAGGTTATATCATATCTATATTTCGTATGGTAATGGGAGTTTTGCAGAGTATATCAGCAAAATATTCCTCTTCTCCTTGATTACACAGCATCTTAATTAGTTCCATGAGAAGATGCATATTGAAATTTTGATGATCTCTAACTCAGCACATTATTCCAGATGAAACAAATGTCAACTGAATTAGACCAAAAGAAACACCAGACTCTGGCTGGTAGAGTTTAAACATTCACTTTGTTAGTAGGCATCTCCTCTTCCTGTAAAAATTACTTAAAACAATTCTGAGATGACTGCAAAAGATTCCTTTAGGATAACTGGCAACATTTTTGGTCATACTACTCTTCTTTTGCTTCCTGACTCTGTGGGGGTTACATTTCTGCTTGTAAAAACAGTCCAATGATAGAATTTATCCTAAACCAAGGACAGTGGTTAGCAAACATGCCTCCAGTTAGACTGCCTGTGTTCAAATCCCAGTTTTATAATCTTAGGCAAATTACCTCACATCTGTGCCTTGATTTTCTCATCTGTAAAATGAGGATAATAATAGAACTCACAGAACAAACTAGAGGTTTACTAGAGGCAAGGAGTTTTGGGGGATGGACAAAATAGGTGACGGGGACTAAAAAGTACAAACTTCTAGTTATAAAATAAGTAAGTCATGGGGATGACAAGTACAGCATGGGAAAATAGTCAATAATACTGTAATAATGCACGGCGACAGAGTAACTATGCTTATCATGATGAACATAGATTAATGTATAGAATTGTCTAATTACGAAATTGTACACCTGAAACTAATATAACATTGTATGTCAACTATACCTCAAAAAAATGTGAACCAGTAAGCACCAAATAAAAAAAAGTATTAGTCAATATCAAAGTTGAACAGGGCTTAAGGTTCTTCTACCAATTATACCCAAGCCAAAAAAAAGTCTGCTATATGATAATGATAATAATAATAAAGGACCTCATAAGATTATTGTAAATTAAATTAGCTGAAATAAGTAAAGCACTTAGAATAGTATTGGGCATGCAAAAAATGATCAATAAGCACGAGCTATGTATTGATATGCCCTTTTCTTCCTGAGACTTGCACTAAAGCATTCTAGACACCTTCCACAAACCCTGGAACAGCATCTTCTCCATGTGTAAGTAGTTGTCTCTTCCTCAAAGAAAGCAACATAAATAAGAGGCCAGGAGTTTACATGCCTTCTGTGCTGATCATCTTTCACTTATTACCATTTTGGTTTCCTTGGAACACCCAAACTGACTTTGACAACATCCCAGCAGTCGTGTGTTCTCTTACCAGGAGAATCTCCACTACACCCATGGCAGGACTTCTGTCTCTAAGCAATAAAGCAATGGCCATACACCTGGTCTGTATAAAAACCTTCTGTACATTCACCAATTCTTCTGTATTTCCCTTTTCACCACCCATACCTGGGTTTATAGGGTTCCAACAAGTCTCCAGATGGATGCTGTTGTGTTAAGATAAAGCGTAGTCTCCAGCTGGGGAAAAGTTTCTACCTGGCTCTGAGGCAACAGGACTTAACATTCACCATCCAAAGCAAATATAGAAGATCATTGTTAAAAGACTCAGTTATAATTTTTATGATTACAGAATTATGCTTTCTGTGTCCTGTCACATAGTCACTAGCTACATATTTTATTAAAAGCTTTGTTCTTCCAAAACTGTCGGTTTGGACTTCCTTCACGATGGTCACCTGTTGCTGCTTTCCTTTGTCAATCTGATCCAGGAGGCATGGGGGCGATGAACTGACTCCCAGAGTCACATGGAGGGCTAGAGTGTAAATCAGGTGGTAAAAAATGTACCAACAGATAAGTACAAGTCATTTAAAGTCCACCTGCACATTTTAACTAATAGTAAAGTATGGATATATTACATATAGCCAGATGACATAGTGTGCCTCCAGGAACCTGACACTAGGAAGGGTTTCAGAATCTGCAACACCATCACCTGAAACACCCTGAGACAACAGCATGACCGATTGGCAACCAAAATACCCTGTTGATTAAAAAAATGTAGTCTGTACTTTCAGAAATATTTTATCCATGTCAGTCTCCAGGTGAGCCAGTAAAATCAGACATTTTAAATATCCCTGGTAAGAACAAAATGTACAGGATCAGTTGAATGATGGTGCGTTTTAGGGAATGGTGGCAGGGGAGCTGACTTATACAACATTCCCAGATTCTGGCCAAAACAGCAGGTGCACAATGACTACATGCCATAGGCAGTGTCAAAACTACGTTTGAGATACTAGAGGAAGATCAGCTCCCAGGATTCAGAAAAGCTGGGGATTCAGTTTCAGTTTGTTAAAGTCCCATGAAAACATTCAAAGGGAGTTTTCCAGTTGTTGTCACCTTTTCTGCAGAAGTATCTATTCCTTTCTCTAAATAATTTGAATAGATTTCTCATTTTAAAAAATAGAAAAATATAGTGGGAAAATATGGCCTAGACGACTGGCTACAGGTGATTGGAAATAGTGCCCATCCGAATGACTGAACAGTTATTTCAAATGAGGAAACTCCTTCTTGTTTATTCTAAAATAAGAAAACTCATTTTTAAGTATAAATATTTTTATTGTTTTAGTAAGCACAGTCGACCAGCTTTCAGATCAGTATGCCACTGAGCAAGCTTTTTAAACAAGCTCCAATAGGGGCACCTGGGTGGCTCCGTTGGTTGAGCCCAACACTTCATTTCAGCTCAGGTCATGATCTCAGGGTCATGGGATTGAGCCCAGGGGCAGGCTCCACACTCGGGGTGGAGTCTGCTTGAGATTCTCTCCCTCTCTCTCTGCCCCCTCACCTTCCCCTGCTCCTACAGGCATACGCGTTTATGTGTGTGCATGCGTTCTCTCTCTCTCAATTTCTCTCTTTCTCTCTCCCTCTCCAACAAATAAGTAAATAAATAAATAAAATCTTTAAAACAAACTCCCATATACGAGGGTGAGGGTGGAGAGAGAGACAAGAGAGAAGGAGATTAACTGACTATAACAATCCCCTGGATTCCCGTGTTTTTTGCCAGGATGGTTAGCATCTTATTTTGATTTGGGGTGTATTTTAATTGAACTATTCACTGTATGAATAAAAAATCGAGTCTCTGGAGTTTGATGTACACTAGTAAGTCACTGACTTGACTCCATATTTTATGTACCTCATAAAACTACCACAGCTAATATGCCCTTTTCTAATTCCTGAGACTTGCAGTGTGGGTTGGAATTTAAATGTTACTGTGTCCAAATCACGACTTGGATTTAAATGCTAAGCAACTGAAGGAGGCTAGGCCATCAGCTTAATACAACACAATCTTGAGTTTTCCCCATTTGGTTATGTTAATTTCCATTTCTTTGTCATCTTGATTTCTGGGCAATGTTGATATGTGTAATCAAATGGAGAGAGAAAATTAGGTGGTGGTTTGCGGGCGGAGCGTTGGAGGGTGAGAAAGCTGTGGTCCATGAGTCCCTGCATAAAGAGAAAGCTTTGTTTCTCTCTTATTAGACTTCTTAGTTTAGTTTAATCTGAAAATGTAGATTGTAGATGTTACCCAGGTGTTTATTCCATCTGGAGAAAAGAAGGGAGAAAAGAAACAGAAGATGACTGGTTTCTTTCACTAAAATAGGAGAACAGAACAGAAAAATCCTATTAGATAGCTTTCATTGTAGATTATATATTTTGAGTTATCATCCTGTTAAGACCTTAATGCCCAAGCTACTCCCTCTGCCTGATTAACACTTTTCTGACACCAAACACTTTTTCTTGACCTTCCAAAGTATAAATCATAAATGAAATAAAATCAAGTTCTTTTTCTGTAGATTCTGCAGTGATTGAGCCAAGTCTCTACAGCCTTATCCTTTTGTCTTATTTTTCTTAAAATATCTTAATTTGCCTAATGATGACATTCATCGAGAGAGAGCAAGGGAGGAAGGGAGCAGTATAGATTGTTTTTCATTTTAGGAAATTTTTATGGTAAGCTGGACAACATTGACTAGGTTCGTGAACGGGATAAAACTCCAGATATTTAACTTTTATAGTTTTAAAAAATACTCTATATCAATACCTTTCCCTATCACCTTCTAGTAGTGGTTCAGCAGGAGTAGCTAGAAAACAGCACCTATCTGCCTGTGTCTTCAGGACTGATCAGCCTGTGGAAACAATTTCCAAATTGTCCTGTGCATAGTTGGAACAGAAGAGTTCCCACTGCCTGTTGTGTTTATTTTATCTTTTCCTCCTTTATCTGGAGCTTTCAGTGTACTTATCTGTATTTAGAAAACTAAACTTCAAGAATTAATAAATTTGAAATATTTGTTATGTGGTTATTTGGCTTAAACTTGTCAGAATGAAACAGTGACCACACATCCCATCTTTACCTAAGATGACCCAGTTTTAGTCCTATTGTACCAACATTATCATTACTAGCATACATTTTACTCTTACAAATGTCTTGATTGTACAATAAATTATATGTCCACCCTAGTATTGGGTCTAATCAAACAACCTTGAACTAAAATCCAAACCCATTTCTTATTAGCTGTGTGTCCTCGAAAAAGTTCCTTAGTTTCTCTGGGTCCCTGCTTTCTCATAAATAAAGCAGGGAAAAATACTGGCCCTCATCTCAGGATTGTCTGAGGATCCAATGAATTAGCTTACATAAAGTTCACAATAGTACCTAACACATAGTGAGGGTTCAGTAACAGTTATCTTGAAAGTTGGAAGGTCTGACCTTTCTCACAGTTCACCAATCTAGACCCACAAAAGAACATCAAAGCAGCAACTGTATAAACAAATAAAATAAGTTTAAGGGACTTTAGATGACAAAGTGTCCATTGCTTTGGCAAGCTATAGTTATAGGAAAAAACAACATTTACCATAATGGTTTTACTTTAAAACACACTCTCCTACACATTAGCACAATGCTCTTCATGATAATCCATGAAGTAGGAATTATTAATGTCCTTATTTTTCAGTGTAAGACTGTCAGGGAAGTTAAAAGTCTTTCCCCATATCACAAAGGCTAGAGCCTGAACTTGAACCAATTCTTCTTACCCTAAATGCCCTATTTACCCTAGTAAAGGGTAAATTACTAAATTCTAGTCATTTTTATTTTCAACTCAAGTTGACTTGTCAACGCAAAATAAATAACACGTTTTGAAATACATTTATTTCAATTCCATTTAAGAGTTTTCACTCTGTATTATAATTGCACGTTTAATTGCCACTGTCTGACATAAATTCTTAAATTTTATGAGGGGAAAAGATTATAGACTTCTTTTTTATCTTTGGGTTTGTAGCACCCTTCTTAATTCCTAACACACAAGCAAGCACTTGATAAATGTTTACTAGTCAAATAAAATCTATTTCTTGAGCAGTTTCCCAAAAAATATCATGTAAAATGAAAATGTTTTCTGTTCTGTCCAGGGCCTGTATTCAGGCTCCTTGTTAAATGGTATTTTGAAAAGAGAAGACAAGCCACACACTTATAAATGGGCCTGCAGTGAACTGAATTAATTTCTCTGACCTTTTCTGACATTTCTTCTTGGGTATTTTAGCAAGATATGCTGGGGAGAGCTTTTGCTTTCCCCAAGAAGCCCTCCCAATGTGGAAACCCTTGCTAAAATATCGTGCCTTCTTAAAATGAAAGCATATTTTTCAATAAAAGGACTTACTTTCTAGATCCATAAACATGTCCATAGGCATTAGAATCTTCAGAACTCTGTTCCTGATTATCAATAGTATAATTAGATTGGTAAAAATCAGAGTCAAATTGTCCCAAGTTTGACATCCTGAAAAATAAGAATGTTTTTTACTGAGAACTTTATGAGTCAATAAAACTTCTTTTGAGATATTTACAAGGATTAATTGATGATGTGCTTATGGATGGATTCCTATTAGACAACAAGGTATTCTTTGGATGGGTTAAATTAAGTATTAGGAAAGGGTATGGAAATGTATTTAGTAAGTCATTTATAAAAAGTTTACCTTCAATGAACTTTTCTGAAGTTTTCACTCACAAGGACTGTGACGTTGACTAAATTGACTTTAACTGATGTGAAAGAACTAATCTTTTTCACCAAATTCCTTATTCCCAGAATCTTAAGAGAAAAAGCTTTAAAGTTGGTACACATCTTGAAGGCCTTCCCTTAAACAGTGTTAGTTCCTCACTTTAAATGCATGCACACATGTTGCAAAGCCAGAAAGCAAATGGCTGATGATAATTCTATTTGAGTTTCATTTTTCCTAGAGCTTTAAACTGTGCTAGCAGCCCCCCCGCCCCCGGCAAAACAAAACAAAACAAAACAAACAAACAAAAAACATCCAAATCCTACAAACCAATTTCCTAGTTTTACTTTCCAATTCCTAAAATGTATTTGGAACATTTTCCTTTTTCTCATGCCTTGCCCACTGCTCCTAGGCTTCTGTCTGAGTCAGAGGGAGAAAGGCTCAGTCCTGCTAAGGGAGGAATCTTATATTTCCATACACACCCTCTACATAGTTTATACTCTCTTAGGGAACGAAGACGAGTGTGTGGTCTTGATTTAGACCTAGTGCCCAGAAATACCAGAGGAAGGAAGAGGGACTTAAGAGGAGAAGAAGGTGGGGAAGAAAGTAATAGTAAAATGATAGTGGTTCTGGGGCGCCTGGGTGGCTCAGTTGTTAAGCGTCTGCTTTCAGCTCAGGTCATGATCCCAGGGTCCTGGAATCGAGCCCCACATCGGGCTCCCTGCTCTGCGAGAAGTCTGCTTCTCCCTCTCCCACTCCCCCTGCTTGTGTTCCCTCTCTCACTGTGTCTCTCTCTGTCAAATAAATAAATAAAGCCTTAAAAGAAAAAGGATGATAGTGGCTCTTTGGATGAAAATCACAGAATGGAGAAACTTTTCAAGTGGATAGATACGGTTATTCAACTCAACATTTTAATCTTTATTTTTCTTTGAAAAGCGTTCTATTTCAAAGGAGTGAATTTGAAAATCATGAGGAGCAATCCACATAATATAATAATTTATGGAATACTAATAATAAGTTTCAAATGAAATTGCATAAACAGCTTAGCCCTAAGAGCTTCATTAATCAGAAATATTCGAGTAATTGTCAAATACATCAAATTTCTTTAGTTCGGTAGAAATACAGAAAGCTTTTCTAAAATTAGATGCAGCAATTCATATATCTGACTTAATAAATCAAGACTTTTCATTAGTAACGTGTATGAAAGTAGCTATGAATTATGTGAATTATGTAAACTAAAATCAAGACTAGGAGAATGTTGTCTTTTAACAATTTAAAATTTAAAGAATTTAAAATTTAATAACATAACTTTCTCAGCCCATGAAAACATGTTATTATAAGGCATACAGAGTAATGTCACAGGAGAATACAGTAAGGTTTCATAACATGCAATACTTTATGTAACATGATTATTGGTAAGAGAGTCCTTACATAACTCAGCTTCATGTTTTATTTAAATGCCAAGTTTTTTAGAAGGATTAGATACATACCTTTGTATTTTTTACGTCAAAAGATCTTCCAAGCAATGTAGCTTTACTTGAGAAATTTATAACAAATCAGTTCGTGAAATGATGACCTGCTGGCTCTCCATATAAGTTTCTAAATTTGTACTCTGACAGTCTGAACAGATGCTACCACCAAACGGGGAAAAAGAAAAGCCTGCCAAAAGCAAACATAGTATCCAGTATCTAACAGGACTTGTTAAAGTTTACAAACACAGTGAATGGTATAGAGACATACAATTTGATAAAGTGAAATGGCAGATTTCAGTTTTCCTGTGTGCGTGTCCCATTAAACTCTAACTTAAGATCATTCATTTGAGGCAAGCAATGGATAGAAAGAGGCCTTAATATTCTGTTAGCTTCATAGCTTTTAAGAATATATTCAACCTAGACAAAATTTCCTAATAATATGTAGTAAAAGGCAATATATGGTACATGACCTTAACATAATGATTTTATCAACAATCTGAAAATGGGGTGTTGTCAATTTTATCCAAATCTGAGCTAACTTATATAAACAACATTTAAGAAAGTTACCTATAATCTACGTCTCATCTCTTTTCCTTTCTTACTTCTCCAAAAGAGCCCAAGATGGTATACTAATCTACTAGAGCTTATTTGTAAGGCATGTTCTGTTCCATTTTTGAGCCAATCCTGACCACTGGAAGCATGAGACCCATTTCCTCCCCTAGAAGCTACCTGAGTTGGATCCCTCTATGTCTGTGGGTCATTTCCAGGAGTCTTCTCCCTAGTTCTGACCCAGGTGGTCTGCCTAATACTCCCCAGTCCCACCCAGATCTGGTGGTTTTGTTTCTAATATCAACCTCATAGCTAGAAGTCAGTTTCCTCTGGGATTTGCTTCATTCGGATTCCCCTTTATAGGACTGAGATTTCCCATGTATCCAGATCTCGGTAACTGAAATTTGCTGCTCAAGGGTGAACATATTTGGCAGTTAGAAATTTTCAACTAGAGCCAAAGGCAAGAATGGTAAATCACATACATTTTCCCGTATTATTTTAAAACATTTGGAATTTGTATTTCTCTGATCAGAGCTGTCCTTTACCAGGTGACTAGTCAGGTGACAGTGGCTTACACATTTATTGAGGATCCATCACTGAGTGCTAGACTGTGTTCTAGATGTCATAGTTACAGAAGTGGACAAACTTATAAAGAGATATATTTTACTATTGATTCTACTATATCTGCAGCAAATGATAATGACTAGCAAGGCATTGTTCTATGAACTTTAGGTTTAAATCATTTAAGTTTTGCAACAACCTTATGAAGTATTATTATCCCATTTTAGAGGGAAAGAAATAGAGATTAAATAACTTTCCCAAGTAGAAGCTAGAAGGTGGAAGTTCCAGTGTGTGAAACTGGTAGGCTAAGTCCAGAGCCCACATTATTATCCGAGATAATTTCAGGAATCAACTGAAATCTATCAAGAAGTTAGCATATGCTATTTAGATGGAGAATGCAAAGGGGAGAGGGATTGGGTATTCAGTGAAGGCCTCTTAAGAAGGTCATTTGGATTGGGACTTGACTGTTGAGAAAGATGCCAGTTGAAAGACTATGTAAAGAGAATTTCAGGCAAATTCTCTGAGATGGCAAGGAATTTTGCAGGTTGTGGTTTAGAAAGAAATCATGCAGTAGTGATTTTGAATCAGGGAAAAGTTGAAGGAGATGGAAATCGGTGGCATAGGCAGAGGCCAGATCATAAAGGACACGGTAAGGGGTCTAGATTTTATTTTACTTGAAATGAGATGCCACTGCAAGATATTAAGCAGTGGGATCATATGATCAGTTTTTGCAGCGATCGGTTAGGAGGATGTTGGGTCAGGCACGGAGGCGTGAGACACAGGTGTTTAGACGACGACAGCATTGGAAGTAAGAACTGCTGAAAGAATCTTGGCAGCTAAAGGAAGGATGAATGGGAGCGGTCCAGACTGGGGCAGTTGTCTAAGTACGAAGTTCATTCTGGGGAGATGATGGTAATTTGTTCTAAGTGGATAAGGTCTCATGGAGCTAGGACTGAACAGGTAAAAAATATATGTGGAAAGAAGATTTGATAGGATTCAACTTCTACTGAATAGGAGGGAAAAGAGGGACAATCGTTGAGGATGCTTTCTAGAATTTTGACAACTTCCTTGTCCTCATGTATTAATGTCATAGGAAAAGGCCAAATTGTTATAGAGTAGCTAAATTTAGATCGTCATACTTTCCATTCCTTCTTTCAAAGTTCTTTGTGTGAGAACATAAGTTCCTTCCTCTAACAGCAAGGACTCAGAGTGCATTCTTTTTTTCTGACATACAAATTCACTGAAAAGTTTACTGAAGATCGTAAGTTCAATTTTAGTCCATTTAAATAATTTTAAACTTTATTTTGTGATTTTGTGCTTTTCAACTTAATTTTCCTTTGTGAAAAAACAGCTTGATTAAATGAATTGCAGAAATACATGGACCGAAAATGGCATATAAAAATGAAATTAATCTAAGCCTCAAGTGAACCATAAGCCATGAAACATTGAAAACCAAATGATTTCATCCTGCTGGTAAGTGCATTAATGAACCATTAATACATACATCAGGATACTTTGAAGCTACTGTTATATATGCAACATGGTATGTGAATAAAATATACATTTAAATTTTTCCCACTAATGAATCATCTAATATATACATAGTATTTGTATATGGTGAAGATATATATCTATATATATATTTATCTCCAATATAGAAAGTTTATTTTATTTTTTTAAAGATTTTACGTATTTATTTGCCAGAGAGAGAGAGCTAGCCCACACTCAGGGAGAGTAACAGGCTGAGGGCGAAGCAGGCTCCCCGCTGAGCACAGAGCCGGATGTGGGGCTCGATCCCAGGACCCTGGGACCATGACCTGAGCTGAAGACGGGCTTAACCAACTGAGCTACCCAGGCACCCCTCCAAAAGAGAAAGTTTAAATCAATATTATAAATAATCACAGTTTCATCACTCGATTATTTTAGTTCAACTACTTAAATAATTATTTCTGGGTTCTGAATGATCAAAAAGACTTGATAATATGAATAAGGATTCTCACCCGATACAAGAGCACTATGTTCTGTTCACAATCATTCTCCTGAGAGAAAGAGAGAGAGCATGAGTGGGGGAGGGTCAGAGGGAGAAGCAGACTCCCCGCTGAGCAGGGAACCTGATGCAGGACTCGATCCTGGGACTCCAGGATCATGACCTGAGCTGAAGGCAGTCGCTTAACCAACTGAGCCACCCAGGCACCCAATA